TTATCTTCTGCAATTCTTTGCACTCTACGTCAATGATGACTCATTTCCCAACTTACTCCTGAGCAATATTTCTTACTACGAAAAATCGAATTACTTACATAGACGGAAAGCTAATGTATTCACAACTATCATACACAATCGAAATGATTTAACTCTGCTCACACTGTCAATCTTGGGAAAACCCCTTTTTGATAAATCCTAAAGGCTAAACTTCTGTAGTCGACTCACTTACTACCTAGCTAATTTTTTTTCTTCCACTTTCACTGTACTTTCGAGTTTAACTTAAACTCTTTGGGTTCTAACACATGTTCGGTATTTCAAACTATCATCCACTCACTAGAGTTAAGCTGGCTAAGTGAATCAAATTGTACCTTTACTAGCTCTGCTGAAATTGCTAATTCACTGTATCAACTCAAAACTTACTTACTATTCTCTTACTAACCACCTGCTAGAATCATGTTTTCTTGTTTTACTTTGGATAACTAAAGTAAAGCATAAGGTTATTTCTAACTTTCCTTACCATCCAACCCTATTTTGCGGTTACATGCTATCCTTCCTTTGTACTATGTACATGGATCATACTTAGGGAAATTTCATCTGTATTAAACAAAATTGGAATATCTAACCCCCAAAATTTCTATACACTTCAAAATCATATCAAACTATAAACATCCGGATGAAACACTTAGTCACATAACCTAAGGGAGAACTGTCATATCTTTCATATCACAATAATAGCTACTTCTTATAGTAATTTACTAACGTGGTACGTTCCAGTTCTAATATGAATAAATCTAAACAACTTAAAATCTTTCTCTGAAATTCAATATCGGTTTCTATATCTCATTTTCGCACCATATCTTCTTAGTCATATACATGAATCATACGAAAGACACATCTTTGGTAATAGCAAAAGTTTTTGACTTCTATTTATTTTATCCTTAGGCTCTTTTTTGTCCAAAACTATAATGGCCCATTCTATGCTAGTTGAGGTCAAATTCTTAACTTGTTGCACCGTAGGGTACATATGAACTATTATCATCTAACCTGTGGCTCCATTTTCAAGAATAAAAATGAAATTGTTCTGTGAGGTAAAACACATATGGATACACTACCATAAACAAACATGTCCTTCAGAGTATACTATTATATGATAAATCACTTTCTGCACCACCCGAAGAGTCTCGAGTCTTAATCTAGACCTAAAACATAAGATTTCACTATAATCACTGTTACTTACATTTTCTTTTAGCACCCATAGGTTTCACCATACACTCACAAGTCACCAGAATTTGGATACACTAAAATTAAAGATCTGGTAACTGAATACTGGCATACTGAATAACCATAAACCTGCTAATTGAAATACTGCATAACTGGTAACTGAGGTAAACTGATAACCATCAAACAGGATAACTCCTTTTTCACTTTCTGATATGGTGATGCTCTAATTTGTACTACTATCCATTGCATCTAACTTTCAACATCCTCCTAAGTCTCATTTTTACCAACCTGTACTCCATAATTATACGCCAATGGGAAATTATCCTCTCTATTACCTTGAGTATTCCTACCCATTGATTGGGAATTCAAAATGTCCGTAATTTGATAAGAAGAGAAGATTACCTATTTCTCTAAGCTTCATGGCACGATCTAGAGTAGAAAGAAATGAGAGAATTCTGAATATCTTGGTAGTTAACCATTTATATGCATGGCCGGCAGACATATATAAAGGAAACTCCACTGGACACGACTTCATAGACTTCCTAGGACACTTGAACCTAGTGATTTGATACCAAGATTTGTCACGCCCGAAAATAGGCCTGGACATAATACAGCACCCGATGCCTGACTACATGTGACCGAGCGAACCAACTGGCTGACTGAATCAACATGTGATATCATAACATACTAAATACAGAAGATAAACTAACACATACTGATATATTGAAAGTATGAATGATATAAATCAAAGTGTGAAAACACTAATACAAGTCTGAAACATATCTGTAGTCAACATTGCTTAACATGAAAAGCTTGTGACTCTGTCTAACTATTACTCTAGTCTATGAAGCCTCTAATGATGTACAAAAAAACTAACTATTTGAAAATACTAAAGATTGTAAGGTAATGATAATTCCCCAAATGAATTGGGGCTCACCAAATAGCTGGTATGATGTAACATGTATTTTGGCATATCTTGATTAGTTTCTTTTTCTTCTCAATGGTGGTATTAGCACCTTGTTGTGCTCATTCCATAGGAGGGAGGAAGACTAAGAAAGATATTGACATATTTTTTTAATGCTATAATAAAATTACAAGGCATTGCTTTGAATATCTCTTTACCATATTTTCGTCTTTAAATTTGAATTAAAAATTTTAGGTCACAATTCTATAATAAAATTTACAAGGCATTGCCTTAGATATTTTTTTAACATTTTTTTGTCTCTAATTTCTATTTAATTTCAAAAGAAATAGTCGTTGGGCCCACTTAGCCTGCGGGCCCGGACCGTTTAGCCCGGGACCATGAGTTTGCGGGCCCGAACCATTTAGCCTGGGACCATGAGTTCGTGGGTTTGGTTCCGGGACGATTCCTACAAAAAGACCGTTTGGACCGTTTAATTTGGGACCGGTCCGGGACCGGGACCCTTTGGACCGGCCCACTTGGCCCGTTTAGGGACTGGACCGGCCCACTTGTCATCGTTACCGCGGTCCCTTTGTTTGGAGAATTTTTTGACCTTAAAGTCGTTATCTATGGAACAGCCTCCGGGGATAAATTCTGTAAGAGGAGGTTCCGGGGCTGCTATCGGAAGGGTTGCCTCGGTGCCTGCGGCCGAGGTAGATATTGAAGGAGCAGTATTTTGAGGCACCGATTTTGAGGTTTTAGCCATCTTGACCTGGGAATATTGAAGGTTGACATGAAGATTTGAAGATCTGGTATGAAGATTTGAAGATAAAATATGAAGGTTTGAAGACTAAAGATGAAGGTATGAATATATTGAGAACAAATTATGAAGATATGAGAGATTGATGAACAAATAGAAAATTTAAGGGTAACTCAAGAAGATTCGAAATCGGAAAGTAAAAAAGTAAAAAAAAGGAAACCGGAGCTTTTCTAGGAAAGAAATAATAAATGCATGACGCTTCGCATTTGGTAATTACCAGGGATGGACAACCGGCGGCTGATACGTGCCCGAAGTCAGAGCGACATGACTGATGAGACGTTTTAGCTCGCCAACTTGCTTATGACGTACGAAGGAAGGAATCGGTGTTAATTAGTCTCTTCCCGTCGTTTCTATAAATCTACTCTCCGAAAAGTGAGGGGACTAGCTGTGAACGGTTGGAATCGGTGATAAAGTTACCTCCCATGTCCCGATGAAGAAACAAGAGACGATGTGGTTAATCGCAGGCCCGGGTAAAGCCAAGGGTCCCTCAAATCAGAGCCCAGAGCCCAGGGGGACAAATGACGCACCAAGATTCGGACATGGCCAAGCATGAAGGGAATCGAGCTCGAGCAAAATAAAGAATCGAGGCTAAAGAGAAGACGGTTAGAGAGGACGAACGAGGGGACGTAATGTCCTCCATCAGTCGGATATTACGGCACGAGTCTCGCCCAATGTCAACTACAGATCATGATTTACTAGAAGAGAAGGATTTTTACCATATTTAGATTTGTACTATGATTGAAACTCTCCTACTATATAAAGCAATAAAGTTTATTTTTTAGCTACTGTTCAAAGTGTTCTTCAGCTACTCATTTCTTTATTTGCAATCGACCCCATCTCGGGGGCTCGATCGAAACCAGTTTCAGTGTTCAACTTAAAGCCAGGTTTCATTGCTCCATCACATTTGGTTTGACCGTTTTGTTTTTCTACAATTTAATTACTTGTTCTTAGATCATTCGTATTAAATTAATTCACATATCCTTTAAACCGCTTACACATTTAATTGTTACTCATTTTAAGGGTAAACAAACTTTAATAGTTTTCAACTATTGTATCTTACGCCAATTGAATCAATCATACATACTTAGCGGCAAACTCAACAATTTGAAGCAATGTCTATGAGCAATTGAAAAGGTTCAAATATACCCCTAAATGATTAAAACGGTAAGCATACATCAACGTGGTTTCCATCGTTAGTGCGAGGGGCATATTTCTACCTTTTTAATTATTCAAGGGTATATTTGAATCATAAGATAATGATGGCAGCTTCTATGAGCCAATAACTTGAGGAATATCATATACAAACCAAATGCAATAGGTTAGGGGCATTTTTAATACTTTACTACTAGTACAATCTGAACTACTCCACGTCTAAAGAGATACATATGGTTATTCTGCACCTTCTGGGTTGTACATCTTATTCTACTGCCAAAATCCAACACATATTTCGAACTCTAGTTTACCAGTTAGTGTCAATTTAATATTAAAGAAACAGAAATTCAAGTAGAACATTTTCTTTCAGGATGAAGAGAATATATAACCTTAGGCCAAACCCAATAGGAAAATTGAAAGCATAACCAATAAGCTGTAATATAGACTTACGATCATAATGAAAAGGGTAAAAACATTTCACGGTGATACAGATGCAAGGGACTAACAGCATCAAGGATGGACCAACAAAAAATCTAGAAAATAAAAAAAGACGAGGAATCAACGCCATGAACTTCTCTAGTCTGGCTGGGTGTTAAATAAGATCAATAACAAATTGTGCAATCAAACATAAAGGTAAGCATTCTGACGTAAATAACTAGTGATGGCAGTGGAAATGAAAGGGTAAATACCATACAAAACATAATTATCATGTCAATTGTACTCCGTATAACTTGAGTAAATTTCTTTAACTTGTATTGTATATTTGTTGCTCTTTCTCCGTTTATAATGAAGTGTGACAGAGTTCAAAAGGAATAAGTATCAAAGCACTATACGATTGATAATTTACATCGAGAAATTAGGTGCGAGGATATGCCAGAAACTTACATAATAGAATTCCTAAGAGACAAGAAAAGTGCTGCACTTTTTACTGTTATAAACATAGGCAAACTAGATGCCAAAGCATACAACTGAGAGATTTGAAGACAAATAGAAAAGAAAGATAAAGAAAAGGCAGGCACATAAACATAACTTTAAATCTCGTTCACTAAGGCTCTAAACATTTGGCAGCTGTCCTTCAATTAGTAATTTCAATCTCTGCAACCATAAGTTGTACAAAGGCTAGAAACCAAGACTGACAGAATTACATTGATTAGTTTTAACTTCGCACATCAAAACCTCCTCGGGTCTGGGGGCAAAAAATATGCAGAGGAATGCATAGAATCACAACCCGAATTAGAATAACCAAGAGGAAATCTGAACGGCTCATAAGACATTTGACTACCTATAAGGGGACTGGAATGAGGAACAGCTGGCGCAATCACATTTGGGTGTCTAATTATCTCCCTACCATGCACTTCTCCAAAGGGTTCTGCTAATATGATTTTTCCATGGGCAGGTTCAAATGAAACAGGTGGCAATTTATTGTGCATGCCTTCTCTTGACATCATTCCTGGGTTTACCACTGGTTCCCACCTATTTGTCAAATAGTGAGGCATCGGCTGCTCTTGCCTGGATAACCCTTTTCCTGGCTGTCTTCCTGACAACCCAGAAGAGGTGCCCCCCAAACAATCATCTGTTTGACTTCTCTTTGTCAAGGAAGAGTCAGTTGGCCCCAAAAGTTTCCGTTTTCCTTGTGGTATCCACCCCGGACTTTCCACAGATGACATGCTTTTGGTCATGATAGCATCAACATGTACAGTTTTTTTATTGCATATTGAACGTTCAACAGATTGCACCTCTTTTTTTCCAGAAGCACAAGCTTGTATATTTTTTGCAATATTTCTTACTGTGTCACCGCTGTCTAGCCTGGAGGCTGCATCTCGGCCAAATAGGAACTCCCTTAAAGAGTTCCCTCCAATCTTTTTATTTGAAAAATCAAAAATGTGTTGGACTGAAAGCTGGATGCAGCTATAGATTCTTTTAACTTCTTCTTCTCCTACAGCCCTAGCGACATTTTGAGATCGATCAGCGAAATCTTCAACCTGTGAAAGACCACTAACATTAATTTATTGCTTTTTAAGAACATGTCAAGAAATGAACAAGCCAAGCACAATTACATTAATATGGCCTACTCTAGAACCCCATGTTTTAGATATCCAAGATCCTTGAAATGTACTGGCACACAAACCTCTGGACCAAAGTTTCTCAACTGATAGTAACTGCAATGGAGTTAAATCAACATTATGTATAATTCCAGCATAGCGGTTAGAACACAATGCCTACAAATAGCGGCCTGCATGGCATATGAAGCATTTCAAACCAACAGAGAATACAAAATCCTACCTTGTTTAATAGAGAAACCAAGAGCTCAGCCACTGATTCTTTATTGTTTATTCCATAGTTCGTAAACTTACACAGAGACCTCTCCACTGCCACTGGCTCATTACCATCTAGAATAGATGGGAAGTCAATTAAATCGGTATGGTGACTAAGTCACATCGAAACTGAAAGCAGATACAATACTTGGAAATAGAAAAGACAGGATACCTTTGTGATAAATAACTGAGGGAGAATGAGTGAAAACTTAGATAGCATCAAAAATGAAATAACGCTACATTAGTACTTAGAACTTCTATGCAAAAGAATGATGTATTCACATTGGAAAAGGTCCAAATATACCATCCGTTGAACTTTGCGAAATTAGTTATTAATGCCCTATGTTAAAAGTTTGGTTCAAAAATGAACTCATTGTTACCCAAAGTTCTCACATGTACCCTTAGGTACCAATTCAGCAAACGGACTGCATAACACGTATTTTCTTGTTGATACATAGAGGTGTCGGACCCATTTCCTCATTCCCTTTTTCCCTATTTCCTCCTTCCCCTTCCTTCCCTGGTGCATTACATTTCAGATGTCTTTTTCACCTCTTAATTTCTCAAAAGAGTTTATCCAGGTCTAATAATAAATTTTAATGCTTGGTCCTAACAGAGTATGCCTTTAACAACATACTCTGTAACAACCCATAAACCGTTGGCAGTTGAACTCGAAAAGGGTTTCGCTGCAAAACTTGCCTTGGTTAAATCCCACATCGGAATAGAAGCGGAAAGTTGGGGGCCATAAAGTGGCGAATTTAGGATTCAGCAAAGCGTCCCTCTCGCAGGAGTATTCCAAACCTCACCTTGCTCTTGTGACATGCTATGTTTCCCCCCTCTATTCCAAGAAAAGGGTGAGTCCCATGCGTGGATCGCGATTTTTTAATGATCTTTTTTATGGTTATGCTGGCAATGATAGATGATTAGGTGGATCTTTAATTGGTTTGTTCCGATTCTAATAGGTGCGCCTAACATTGCATTTCTACCATTACATAATATTTCATTTTACTTGTTGTCTCCAAGTCTCTTGCACCTTTTGGGTTAAAGCCCAAGGAGACAACCATGAGACTCAAAAGCCTTGGCAGTTGGGCCTGTGCCATGACAGGTGGTATTAGAGCCAGTACCTCCCGTAGTGCAGTGATGGAACAGATTTTAGCGAGAACGTTAAGTCCCTCAGGAGGGTGAATGTAACAACCCACAGATTGTGGGCGGTTGAACCCAAAAGGGTGTTGCCTAATTGCCCATGAGTTTTATGTTGAATCGGGTAGTACTAAACAACAATAATAATCGACAAATAAGTTTATTAGTTGTTAAGTAAAAATTATGAGTGCATTTGTTACTCTTTTTTTTTGAATTACATATATATTTATTCTTTTTCTTCGTTGTGCCTTTTTTTTAAACTAAAGCCCACATTTTAATTGCGCTTTGCACTTAAAGCCCCAATAACTTGAAGCGTTGTTATGAGTTTTTCACTTTTGACAACACTGATAGTATTTCAACCGTATCTCAAAGAGAATCCCATCTTCAAGACCACCACCACCAACAATAAACCCAGTGTAATCCCTCAAGACCCTTGATGAAAAATCATGGAATCACATAATTTGGAACAAATAACAAGTGTTTTTAAACTAAGGCCAATGTGTGTTGGCGCATCACCATTTGGTAGACCGTCAACGAAGGAAGTTTGCCACATTCTTTAAAGCTATAGAGTCTCCAATTTTGAGGGAGTAGCATATGTATATTATGTCATCAAATATTGTTGTAATTTGTCAATAAAATAGAATTAAATAGCCATGTTGAGAAAAATATCTCCGGAGATATATACTCTAGCATCAGTCCCATGCTTTCTCAATATTCAACTTTACTGATGCTAAAGGAACAGTCAATTGAATTGGACAAACCAATAGCTCTGTCAACTACAGATTTAAAATTAAAACTAGTTGAGGCTAGTCTAGGTGTTCTTTAATGAACTTCATAATACTCCCTCCATCCCAATTTATGTGACACCTTTTCCTTTTTAGCCAGTTCTAAAAAGAATGACACCTTTTTATATTGAGTAATAATTTAACTTTAAAGTACCCATTGTAACCTTAATGAAATGATTTATATTACACCCCGTACTTTCATGTTCGAATGCGTCTTAAGTGAATCAATACAAGTCAGAGAGTTCAAGGACCTTTACAAAGATAATGATGGGTTAACACAGGTATTATGGAAGTATCGTGAGGGTTGGAGGTTAAACGAATCAAAGATGTTATAACTCGTACTTTCGTGGTAAACTAGGAGTACTTAATAAGCTAATGAGGTCATATTTTAAGGTATTTGAATCATATAGTATTTGTATGTTAGGTTTTGATGTCAAACAAGTTGTAAAACAAAAGTCAACAAAATTTGTCGCAAGATACGTTCATAATTTTACTGAAATTTGGATCTAAAGTCACTGAGCTTTTCTCTCAATATACTTGGAGTTATGGTGTGATCCACCCACCAAATTGAAGCCCTACGAGTCTAGTTTTCAACGCATTAAACCATTCAAGAGTAGAGAGATATTCGCATTTTCGCGAGACTACGCAGGCAGCCCCTATGGGACCCACTTGGTCACTGGCCGACCTTCACCTATTTTTATCTCGTGTTTGGGATGAGCTTTGCTCATATTTCAACCACCTTCTATCCTCACACACTCCAAACCCTCCCAAACAATTCCCCCAAGGCTCCAAACAAATTCCAAAAAAACACACCATAATCCAACATCAAAGTTAGCCAAAGGTGGAGAATAACCCATTTATGGTGTTGTGATGTGAAAAAGGATGATGGTGAGATAAGTTAAGCTTAGGGTTCGAATTTTATCTACTGCCTAAGGTATGTTTAACAGTCTTTTGGTTATTTTTAAGGTTAATTACATGTTGGTTGTGGCGTTGGAGTAAAAGATTACAAGATAGCACTTGAAGGTTGTGTGTGTGTATATTAAAAAAAGGGCAGCCCGGTGCACTAAGCTCCCGCTATGCGCGGGGTCCGGGGAAGGGCCGGACCACAAGGGTGTATGTATGTATATATGTGTGTGTGTGTGTATATTAAAAAAAGGGCAGCCCGGTGCACTAAGCTCCCGCTATGCGCGGGGTCCGGGGAAGGGCCGGACCACAAGGGTGTATGTATGTATATATGTGTGTGTGTGTGTATATATATATATATGTGTGTATATACATGTATGTGTACATACATGTATGTGTACATACATGTATATGTGTACATACATGTATATGTATATGTTGTTATGGCTGGAAATTGGGGGAAAATAACTTGATTATTATATGGTTTATGTTGTTATGAATGTATATATGTTTATCAAGTGAATTGATGAAAGAAACATATGAAACTATGAATTGAAAGTGAAGGTTGAGGTGCTAGTGCATATGGGACTGTTTTGAAAGGTTTTGAGCTAAGTTTCGGCTGGTTCTTTATGTAGTATCTTGGATATGTTATTGTTGATGTTGTTCCTATTGTTTTGGTGCTAGTTTGAGTTGGATGGAAGTGGAATTTTATAAGAGAAATATTGTTCGATTTTCTTTAAGTGACCTACTAGCGTAAAAGCATGTTTGTAAGTCCTTTTATGGCATTAACTACAAGTTTTACTATCTTAATGTAGATTGAAGTATTCGGGAAGATATACGTTGAGTCGTTAAGTAAACGACAAAGGTATGTTAAGGCTCACTCTTTCTTTCTTTTGGCATGATCTACAAAGAACATAACTATAACGACGTTACTTAGGAACTCTATTCTCAAGATTAAAGCTTGTGAACCTCATTGTTTCATATTATTATAGCTCATGAATCTTATTGTTCTTTGTTGGGATTACTTCCCGCCTTAATAGCCTTTGAATCTTATGTCTTCTTATGATCCTTGTTGACTCTCGGACAATTGATATAGACATAGTTACATAACAATAATCGGAGGATAACAACCTTGAGTCACTCCGATCAGATCCATAAGGCCCTTCAGAGTCATTGCTTGCATTGCACTTGTCATAGCTTGCATTGCACTTGTATATATGTATCTACTTTACTTTACCAAGCCGCGCTATAGTTGGCCGGGTACGGCACTTATTGTGCAACCACCGATCAGTTGGGTATTACCCAGCCCTTTGTGGCACGGTACGACCGAGCCCTCTTTGATGCCGGGTATGTTATAAGATATCACCGAGTCCTTTTAAAGGCCAGGAACAACTGAGTCCTCTTCGAGGCTGGGTACATTATGATATGACATGATTTACCCCAAAGAATGGCTTGATACTAAATTATATGGCCCCGTCGAGTGGCCTGATTTTTACAGACATGCATATATATCCATGATTGTGAAAGTGTATGCCCTCAAAGGCTTGTTATGAGTTTTAGGTTTACTTCTGTACTCTTCCTTTGTATTTCTATCTCTATTTATGTGATTTACCTGCCTTACATTTTCAATACATTTTTCGTATTGACGACCCCTTGCTGGGGCGCTGCGTTTCATGCCCGCAGATACAGATAGCGATTCAGACGATACTTCACAATAGGTGAATCAACTCAACTGAAGGTTGTCACGCTCCTTTCTTTCGGTGTTGTCTAGTGAGCTGGTAGGTATGATGGTTGCATATATGTACATAGTTGGGTATGGCGGGGCCCTGTCCTGACCTTATGATGTTTATGTACTCCTTAGAGGCTTGTAGACAGATGTTATGTGTATTGATGGTCATGGCGGCCTTGTAGGCCCGTATGTCTGATGTATATAAGCTTGTATAACATTTTGGGTCGTCCTTTGTCGTGTTTTCTTTCATGTTTTAGTCAGATTATCTTATCGCGGCCTTTTCGACCCATTTACGCATGATAGCATGGTTATGGATGCACGTTATGTTGGTGCTCGATGAAGTAGACCCGAATGTCCGCGTGCCCCTCCGATTTGGGGTGTGACAATTTATAACCACAATTATTCTAGACCACAAGTTTCAAAAGTCTTTAATTCTTTCTTATACGATGTGCGCGAGCAAACATCGTCACATGGTTGGAGGCAGTACATCAGAACATTACTAAAACGAGCTGGTTGAAATGAACCCAAGTTGAACATGCAACATGGTTCTCTTAGTCCTCCATCAAGAACATCAACAAAGGGATTGTGTTGTTAAGGTTCTTTATTCAAGAACTCAACTGGGTGGTTAATATGGGCGCTCTTGGAGGGCGTATTGTTTAATGGTGGAAGGAGGCGGAAGGAGGAAATAGGGAAGAAGAGAGAAGAAAGAGGAAATGGATCCTACACCTCCACGTGTCAACAAGAAAAGATAGGCATTGTGGAGTCCATTTGTTGAGTTGAAAATAAGGGTATACATGAGAACTTTGGGTAATGGTGCGGCCATTTCTGAAGCAAACTTTTAATGGAAGGTATGAAAGACTAATCTTGCAAAATTCAGAGGTATATTTGGATTTTTCCCTATTCATATTACCTAAATCCTGAAGTCAACAATGTCCAGATATATTAATGAATGTTTGTCATCAAATATTTTGGTGTATCTTCCTTCAGACTCGCAGCTGCACCAAGAGGGAACAGTGTTATGGTTTTCCTCAAAGATGACAATCTGACGGTATCTCTGGATCTAAGAATCATGGAAGACATAATTGAAATATGCACCTGGAATTAAATCATATTGGTATAAGGAGCAGAAAAGGACAAAAGAGGAAGTAAGAAGCGCTCATATTTGGACAACACTGGCATACATTCTTCTGATTGATCAGTCAAAACTTTTGCCTTTCTCCTAATTAACAACCTCTTAAATATGACCACCTTTCCCATAACTTTTGTGATAGCACTTTCCCATAACTTTTTACTCGACATGGATGTGACATGAAACTGGTTTACAGCTCTCAATACTCTAACCAAGTACAAACCAATCGCACAGTTTAGCTTTCACCCAACAATATATTTTTTTTAATAAGGAGCTTTCGGCCAACAATATATTAGTCCGCACAAAGCATCACATTTGGAGGGTGTTTGGCTAAGCTTATAAGGTGGGTCAAACTAGCTGATAAACACTTTTTAACTTACCTACACGTTTGGTAAACACCCAAAGTAATTATAAGTCAAAAGCTATAAGTTGGTCACCCCCCAACTTATGATTTTTTAGCTTATAAGCATTTTTGGTTTCATCAAATATTTTACTATTTGCCCTTCTCAAAAAAATATTTTACTATTTTATCTTTAAATCTTTTCTAATTCTCAAGATGCTCTTCCCAAACTAGAACTCCTAACTCCCTCTCCATTCCAAGTTCTTCGTTCATTCTTCTCCTTTTATAAATACTTCTAAATTTATACTTTTTGTAATAACTTTAGGGACATCATAGTTGTCTTAACATAAAAAACTACTAATCAAAACGTTTTTTATCAAACATATCACCTGCTTATTTTCATTTTCAAGACTTCTATCCAAACATATATCTGATTATTTATAAAATCAGTTTCAACACTTAATACAGTCAGACCTCTTTATAACAGCATCGTTATATAACAACCATTCACTATAAAAGCCAAATTTCTTCGGAACCAATTTCCATGCTATGTGATAATATATGTTCTTTATAACAGCACTTCGCTATAACTACCCAAAAAATCTGGAACAGATGAGGCTGTTATAGAGAGGTTTGACTGTATTCACCCGCTACTCTCAATTAGATAACCCAAACGGGCTCTTAATACGTCTAATACCGAAATTAAGATGCCAAAACTAAAACTTACATGACATTGTTTTTGTGTGGTAAACTAGTAATAACAATGCAAATATTTAAATCAAATGTTAGACCTTCAAAGGAACATTGAATTCCAAAATGATTCTAAAATGAAATTTGCCCTTTGTGATGGGATTGAGAAATTTCAATCAGAATTAACTTGGCTATATAAATTTATTGGATAGAAGTAATAAGTAGGCATTACCTCTGAATAAAGCGGAAAATGGAGGCAGAATGGGAGGATTTCGTGTCTGCAAAGTTTTTAATTTAGCCATAAAAGTGTTGATGAGGAAAAATATTCATAACTAAGCTACATAACAAACAACAATAGAGTTAAGAGAAATCTACAATGATCTAATTATACTTTGATGGTCGTCAAAGAAAAAACAAGGATCGGGAATATATAGAGAAGTCTGAATCACTTTTGAATTACAACATATAACAATAATCATCCAAGTTGGCTAAAGAAAGAAAGAAAGCTCAGTGCACAAATATTCAAGTGGTGTTCAATCTAGGTGGAGAAAAGGAAAATATTTGTTTTTCTCCTCTGTTTCTTCTATAGGTACGACAACATTTTGTTTTTCAATTCACAATGAGAAGATTATGATGCTATGAAGTAGTTGGGAAGATGAAGTAAAACATGATTCAGATCCCCCTTTTATTTACAGAACAGGTAAATGGTAACATGACTTAAATCTTCTTAAAATAATTACAACAGCTAATGGGAAAAGGTTGCACCTAGAAATGAAATCACACTGCTTTTTTACATCCACCTCTTCCTGGCCGAAAAAGAAACGGTAAACTAACTATACTTGAGGAAGTGAGTTCAACCATTTTCTCATTGGGCCAGGATCCATAGCCGTTCAACCTGAGGAAAGTGCGATTGTTGTTTCTTTCCAGCCCATTCCATCTACCGGGGCCCTGTTGCGTCCTAAGGGGGGCACCATCAATTCTTGATGCTTGAAAGCAGCTGTTCCAGACAGTTTTCTACACCATTATCTATTCCAAGTACTTGAACTTACGCAGGCATTACGGCCAAATATGTCTGAGAAAGTTTGATTCATCCCTATAGATATATTCTCTTTCTGAGTTTACCACATGGGGGAATACATACCATATAAGTTGTACCGGATATTTTGTGTTATGATACACGTGTTAATCCTTGTGTCCACACTATTTGTGAACATTGCATTTGTTCTTCTTAAAGGCAAATTAGAGAGGTTTAATTTAGCTTCTTACAATAGAAAGGAATTGCTATCAAGCTCTATAAATGGCCAAAGGTAGCACGAAGTTGATCTTGGACCAAAGGTATGTAAAAACAAACTTGTTGCAGGAATTTCATTAGACTAATTTTTCAGTTCCTCACCACAAGGTCAAAAGAGTCAATCCAACACGAACAGGAGAGAGTTTACTTTTGAAAAGAAGAAAAAGAGGCTACAAAAGCATAGGTTAAAGTACAAATGATAAATCTGTGAAAAGAAGCTCTATGTGCTTCCAAAAAGCATGTGGGAACCTAGTATTTTGCTTCTTTTTTTTGGTGATACGTAGTAGTATTTTGCTTTTCATGTATCCACGTCAAATAGGTTGGTACTACATATGGGTCCTCCCAAATAAAAACAAAACCTGAAAATTGAACATACTTATGCAAAAAGGCACAGATATCTGCTAAACACAGCAAAACCCATGAACCCAGACATTAATGATTTTGACTTCTGCGTGAAACAAGATCAGCAACTCAATTCTAGATTTAAAATGCCAGCTAAAAACACATGTTATTGGTTGATGTCACCTTCCCACCATCATTTCCGTGAGAAAAGTCGTGTAGAGGTGGAAATATGGGGAAAACAAGTAGGCTTTGAATCCATTCATTCCCAACATATTCATTGCCCCATTGGTTTAGCTTATCAAGTTACTCATTTCCCGACTTTGCCGTATCAAGATACTATATTGTTTACAAGCAACATGAAGATTTGTGAGATGTAGCATGATTTCAAGATTCAGAAGATACTATATTGTTTACAAGAAGGTCCAACATCTTCTGTTGAGCCGAGAGTCTCCCGGAAACAACCTCTCTACCCTTTCGGGGTAGGGGTAAGGTCTGCGTACACTCTACTCTCCCCAAACCCCACTAGTGGGATTTTACTGGGTATGTTGTTGTTGTAAGAAGGTCCAATAGGTGGAGGTAAAAACAAATCAGCCAAACATCCCAAAAGAATAACCAACAATGCTAGACACCTAAAGTTTCTTAAACATGAGATGGCAGAAATAGATAGATAGAGAACTTGGCAATTTCGAATAGAAAAACACGATAAGCAAAAGGTTCAAGATCGCCATAAAAGAATGAGGAAAGGAAATAATGAAAATTCAAGGATTTCTGCAAATGATGAACTTGTTCCTAAAACCATACCTGCAAATGGAAAGCAACCAAAAGTATTATAGATAAAGAATTCAATGTTTGATCCTTTGCACTGTTAATATTTTGTGCTTTTGCCCATGCTTTCATCTGCAAAGAGAAAATTCATGAGAAATCTGAACTAAAAATGGAAAACATTCTTTAGCGAAAAACATTGAATATTGCACCTAAAAACACCCAAAGTATCTGCTCTATTTTCACACTGCAGCACATGCTTTATGTAAAGGATATCTATCCCAAAACAAATTATGGGCACTAGAGATTGGACACGCCTGAAAAAAGAATTTCAATAAAAAAACAAGGGTGACACACACCCAACACGTGTTTGATCACGTCAAGGAATTTAAACTGTTTCAGAATCAAAGGTTTTGTGCACTCTACATGTCTTATTTAACTAAAAATTGAGGCACCCCATGGCTCAAAATTGAGAAAAGAAAAGGAAAAGAAAAGAGGGACTGAATGTGTTTAACTAAACCTAAAAAACAAAAAAAAACTTATACATGTGACTGCTTAACATGTCCTTGGAGATCATATATATGTATAGAATTGATTTTAATTTAGATTTGCTGATGTATTATAAAGGGACAGACTGCTGAAAATCTTCAGCAGTGCGATCATCTATACAAGTTATTGAAACCAAAATCTGAACCCAAAAGGAGGCAAATATGGGAGTTCATTCTAATGGTATGACTTTTGAATAGAAAAAAGGTTATGTGCACATAATCCATTTGTTAGACAAGTTTCTCGCACATGCTATCATGTGAATGCAACATGTGTGGGCTAGTAAGACTTTCCAACAGATGTACCACCTTCATTAAGGAGATTCATAGCTTTGGACAGAAAATCTCAAAAGGTGAAATTCAGTGGAGAGGTCTAATAAGGACAGACATTTAGGAAAAGATCCCCAAAAAAGAAAAGAAAAGAAGAGAAAGGCTCTTCATTTTCTTATATCCTGATTCCCAAGTATACTTATGAGATCATAAACGTAGGGGCTCATCCCAAGGCTGTGCACATTTGGATGGTCGTCCAAACCAGGATAGCCAAGAAATCTATCAGGAAACAAAAAGGAAAAGAAAGATATTCATAACCAATTGCAAATATGTAATGTGATCCTTAACATGATTCTTCAAACTTTTCCTGTACAAAGGTACTGAACCACTCTTTGATAAATATATGTATTAAAGGACAAGCATATTTTACCAAGAAGCTCAATTTCCGAAAACGTTCATCAATGGCACCAATCATGTAAATCATCTTTGATTTTGATATCCCATCCCAGTTTTCAACTGATATATCACATTCAATTTCAGTTCCTTGGTCAACAACTTTGAGAACTGGCACCCTGGCAGTTGTAACTGCATAGACACCATAAACGAAACCATTCCCTGCGGCAGAAAATTTACATATCAGAACCACCAAAAACATTAACCAAAGTCTTTAAAACATACAAAATGCTCTAACTATCATGGTAATACAGTCACCTTTTAAGGATGAGCATGTAAAAATTAATTTGAACACCTGAACAATACTGGACTTTAGTTCAGTTACCTATATATGAAGTCAAAAGTCTTTTATCTTTTACAACATGTATATATGTATATTTTTGTAGAAGTATCAATGAATTTACTTCATATCAACGCATGAGTACAGCAAATGTATCAAGGTCTATCGGTTGGTCACTGCTGCATTGAGCTTTCTATCTCTGCCATTTTAAATAATTGTGATCCCACAGATGAGGGATCACAATTATTGCTGTTGTTGTTGTGATCCCATAGATGCATGGGGCTTTGTCGAATAACTTAATGCACATGTCATCAGCCTTATAGATGTAATTCCAGACATGTCTCCAATGCTGGATCAGTCCCTTTCTACTGCTTCACTACTGTCCCATAGCTTTCTTTTACTGTATTTTGATAAGTCGTAGTTGATATTCAGCGATTAAAATTAATCTTATTTCTAGAAGACTGCATTAAATGGACACCAAGGCTGTGTCCTATCATTCAATGAAGCTGGTGAAAATTAAAAATCAGGGTTCAAATTCCATTAGAGACAAAAAAATGCTAGATGGATTCTTCTTATATTCCTAAACCTTAGCGAGTAGAGTTACCCAGTAGTTGGTAGGAGGTAGCAGGTACGAAAGGAATAGTCGTGGCGGGCGCAAGATACCCATACACCACAGTTAATTAAAAAAGGAGATGATGAATATTGCATTAAATGGAAATATTTGTGAAATGTAGCTGACGATTTTTTACATGCTCTTTACATACACCCTCCTGATTTTCACATTTGACTGTCTAGTTCGTACACCTCAGTTAGTCCAAATCATTGCAATCTCCCATCACAATGACCAGAAAAACTAATCGATTTTTGTACATTGTGTACCACGTTAACAGAAGAAAGAAGTGACAAACTGAATCTTTAGTTAATAGATATGCCAAATACCACCAACCTGTTAAGCAAAATGAAACATCAAAGAAATTGCTCGTATATGACAAATGGTAACTGTAGTTAAGTACTTATGGTTAAACTTATTAAGATGAATAGAAAAACCTGGTTCTTCTTCAGTCTCCGTGTTTGCAGACTATCTGACACAATCCAGAAAACCATAAATGAACAGCATTCTTCAGATGTAGTTTTGATCGTTCATGTAGTTAAATATTTATGATTAAATGTTATAATCCCTTGAACTGACAGAGGGGGGAGATATACCAGCAATGGTTTTTCTGATCAATGCACATGTGATAAGCTTATGGAAGAAGAGTTATTTAGACTTTACAAGTTTTTCCAACTGGCTTCTTGGCTCTAAAGGGGACACAAACAAGAGTGACTAGAGGAAATTGTTCAAGCAGCTGCAGATTGAACTTCTCATATCAATACTATGACGACACTTACTGATTATTAGATTCTTGATGGACCAAAATATAGGAAAATTAAAGTAAAATGAAGAATAAGTTCAAAGGTTACTTTGAAGTAGATAAAAAAATTTTGCAAATTTCCTCAGAGTCTGGATCTTCTTCTCCCGTGTAGTGTTAACCTTTCTGCTGGTGAAGTTGACAGATAAATCCAAGTCACTGNATCTCTTCGAACATCATAATCGCTTGGTTTAGGGCGAAGATCCACATAAACCTCATAAAGTAATTCTTCAAATGCCGATAATTGTTCTAAGGTTGCATATTTGTTCCGCTGCTTCTGTTCACGCTGCTGTGCTTTCTCACGCAGAACTGATATCAAAGTTATATTAGTTTAAAGTATCGATAAATTCCTCACAACAGGAGCAGTAATTCCATCATAAATAGGAGCTCAGCCAACACAACACAAGCTGTAGAGTTTTCACAAAAAGCTTATGAGCAATTTCACAAAATTAACTAAAGACGGGCTTTTTCATCTGTGAAAATAAATATGCAAAACAGTGAAATGGATTACTAACCTTCCAAAGATAAAACCATGGTATTAAAGATGAGTCCAACCTTTACTCGATCATTAATCCACAACTGAAAAAAAAATCACTTCAAAAAGTGTATGGTAACTACTTTGAGATCCAGAGGAAACATCAGATATGTATTTTCTGATTCATCCTTCTTATAATAACGATGGAGGGAAACAGAGTAGTAAAATATAACCACTATTTCTGATTCTACATTGACTATCTTATTTTGGAGAGGGGTTTCATCTTATATCTGTTGCTCCACTAGCCCAAAACTGTGGTTAAGCCAGAGTCAGAGAGTTGCGATGGCAAATGTCCATCTAATACCTCTAAATCATCTTAGTATTCGTTAACAAATACCCAATTAACAGCTTGTATTCAACTTCTTTAGATATCCAATGATAGCTTAGTTTTCATCAACAAATATTACTACTTGTTTCAACCAAAAACTACAGAAACGAAATTCTGCTTATTTTGATGTAAATCTCACACGTATAACTACAAAAGCCAGCCAATTGAAGTTTGTTTCCACTTATCAACACCCGACTGATCCCCTTACGTTTCACTTTAAGCAAGAGTTAAATTGTTTAAACCAAAAAAAAAAAAAGTACATATATCTTGATATAAAATCCGACTTTAGATACAGTTCTCAAATGTATAAACGAAATCACGAAGCAAGTGAAGTATACAGTTCTGGACCTTAAACCATAGAAACCAAAAAATAAAAAGAAAAAAGGTTACCTTCAACTTCAAGCAATAATTCGGTCGCTGGCCGTCGGTTAGTTGGGGGGTTTTTGAGGTGAAACCGTGCGGTTGGGACGATGAAGGAATAACTATGGGCTTCGGGGAATTTAGAAAAATTTCCTTTTTGAATTTCTTTTTCGTTAAAAAATATGTTTTGTCCATGAAATCTTACAAGTTTTTTAAAAAATTTCGAAAATAAATCTATATATCTATACTATACAACATTAAAAACATAAAACTTCTTAGCAAAATATCGTTCGTCTTTTTTATTATTTAAAAATAGAGTTCATATTGGACAAGAGAGTCATTTAGTTATATTCCTAATATTTAGGTATTTAAAATCACCTAAAAGTTTAATTATTAAATCTTTCGTGTTTAAAGTATGTGAAACTCCTAATAATTAAAATTTTAAAATCATAAATAATCTACCTAATACAAATCTTACTCTCACATCTTCCGAAATATGATCATATTAATAGTCAAGAGAGTTACTACTACATTGTCTCTCAACCAAATTGATACAACTTCTATAAAAACAAAGTACAAAGTCCAATTCTTTAAAAACATAAAAAAATTATTGAATAAAAGTAAATTATATTTACATATTTAAAATTTGGTATAATCTAATATTAAAAATTAAAATCAACAGATAATAAATAATTTTGTTTAATGTTAAGAATAAATAATTAAGTATTTGAATTGATTAATTCAGAAAAATATTTAACTTTTCTTAATTAATCGTATAAGAAATTATTCTTTAAGTTGATAAACAACTTATTGTTAGACTACTAGAAATGAGAGAATTGAGTAAGAAAATAGAGAAAAATCATTAATGTATACTATTAACAGCTTGTTTGGATGCTTGTTACATATCGTTTCATAATGTATCGCATTGTATTGTATTGTACTGTATTGTATCGTCTGATGAATACAATGTTTGGATGAATTGTGTCGTTTTGTCGTCGTTTCATGGTATCACGCACCAATAATACGATGAATAAACTTGCAATATTATAAAGAAAAATTATGATACGGTATATAAAAAGGTAGGGTAAATGATTGAAGGGTGAGATTGAGAGAAAAAAACAAGATAACGACGCAACCACACCAAATCGGTCGTTACATAAAGTGACACATTTCATCGTTACGTAACGATAGATTTAACGATACGATACAATAAAATTTAAGTAACAATCAAAACAAACATTGTATTTAAAGTAACAATACGATATAATACAATAGGTAACAACCATCCAAATAAGCTGTAAAAGTCAACTTGATTAAAATGCAAACTTGAAGAAAGGTAAAATACAAAATATATTCTATGTATACATTACCCTCCTCAAACCTGACTTTGTGAGTTACACTCGGTTTGTTATTGCTATTATTGTATGATTTATTTCTTTAGTGAGTTAGCTAAATAGGAACAACAATTTAACATTTACCATTTTCATAAACTTATAATTTATTTTGTTAGGTTCTATTTTATAACTCAAATATATTTTTTAAATATTGTTTACGTGATTTCTAAAAGCTTGTGTTATTCGTTTTTTATTCCTTTAAAAATTAAGTTCACACTGAAAAAATAGATAAAATTTTAAAATCAACTAAAATTTTATTTATTAACTAAGTTTTTTTCTTATTTGAAATATTTAGGACTTTATTAATTCAAATATACCTTATAGTCATTTATTTCCTATTCTTATGTAATAAATGTGTTATTACTCAAAACCTTTTTTAGGCGACACTAGACTAATATACTTTGAAACCCTAAGCTTAAGAGACAACATATATTCCTTCTTACTTTCTCGATGCGTGCCAATTAAAGATTATTCTTTTGTTATTCGAATTAGGTAATAGAATCATTCTCTCTAATTAGACTTAGAAAGAGATATTTTACCTATAGATGTTCACGCAATATATAATTCCTTGTGTTTTTAGTCACTGCATTTTGATTTGTTTTAAAGTTTGAGTTTTATATTAATTTATTGGACATATTTAACACTCGATTATTTACATCAATATCAACACATGCTTCCAACACTATTGCATTTAAATGTTTTGATAGATATAAGATTTACTTCTCGACTTGGCGGGATCATGGGACTATTAGTCTAAATTTTGAGATTCTTATAAGATAACGAAGCATAATTTATGATTAAGTTGAATGGTTAACACAAAAACAAGAATCATAAAATTCATAATCATGTGATTTCATAAAGTTTTGTCGAATAAGTCTTATTTTAAAAAGATATAATGATGTCTGATGTAATTTGGTTAAAATTGCTATTTAAATTATTTTCTAAGTTGAATTTTGACATTAATAAAACTGTTAGCTATTAAAATTTTCTCTATTTGAATTATGCAGAAATTCTTAATATTTTAAATTTTTTATTTTGAGTAAAATTTTACTTCTATAAATATCTTTCTTATTTGTCGTAATTTAAAAATTATTTATATAAGATCAGTACTCATCATCTTCATGAATTTATACTTTCATTTTACAGCTTAAACATTATTTTTAACATAATATTTATCTAATTTTTAAAAAAGTTTATACTTACTCATTGAGAAAAGTTACACGCGCAACGCGCGTACACTGAGCCTAGTTTTTCAAAAATCAAATTTCAAACTTTTCAGAAAAACTTTTTTCCCTACTCACAAAACTGCAATATTTTTTCAAGTGAAATGCATGTCCAAACACAATTTCAAATTCCAAAATAGCATCTTTCAACTTATGTCACGACCAAAACTTAACCTGCCGTGATGGCGCCTATCATGATATTAGGCAAGCCGACATCTCAAACGTACCAACACTTTTAAATTCAAAATAGACTAAAAACAGGTTTAAATAGTGAAAATCTCATAAAATTGAATGAAACTTCACAACTCAATACAGAATTTTCCCAAAACCAGGTGTCACTGAGTATATGAGCAAAAGCTATGATCTCTGAAATGTTTATACATTGGTGTTTATGATAATAATCATTGGATGTAAAGAAATAAAAGTATGAAATATGAAATGCGGCCATCGTGCCATGAATGAATAACATTATATATGGCAAAGAGTGCCATGGAAATGAAGATTTTGTGAATAGTTAAAAGGGCTAATGATGCGATGAATGGCATGACAGACTATGAGATGGATATAGTTATATTACTATTTTCATTATCCTAAATACATAAATAAATGAATATTTTTGGGGGTATCATTAGCGAGTCGAGAAAGGGTGGGTTGTTACGGCGCACACCCAAAACTACACGTACTAGTGTATGAGTGATTGAGGGATAAATCCCTTGCTGATTTGTTGAGATTATCCTCCTTAATTGGATGAGATTGATATATTGAGATTATTCCGCTTAATTGGGATGAGATGATTGCTAGCAAAAGACGATGTCGACCCGCACAGCATTGTGGTGAGACGGCTTAGCCGATCAGGCATAGATCAGATGCCATGTTGTGCACATGTTGGTGTTGTGTTTTGATGTCGACCCTCGTACTTTGGGGTGAGACGGCTTAGTCGATTGGGCAGATATCGGACGCCATGTTATGCACATGGTGGTGTTGTATTTTGATGTCGAGCCTTATACTTTTGGGTGAGACGACTTAGCTGATCGGGCAGAAATTAGACTCCGTGCTATAAGCACGGTGGTGTATGGGTGCTAAGATCTCCCAACCAAAATTGTTGATACTTAATTGTAATTGGTTATGTTTTAACTTGGCATATTGTATTGCTTGAGTTTCTTATTGATTCTGTGTTACTTTCCTTCTTATGTTGGCATTCTATTCCATGAGAGGGTATTTTGTGACGACTCGGCCAGTCGTCTCATGAGTTACTGCTCCGCTTCCCCCATTTCTGCTTCTTATTTCTTTGTTTATCGGTTCTATGTATGATTGTGTTGGTTGGCTCGGGTTCGGAAAGGTTTTGCTAAGGTTTGAGATACTTAGTCTCTTTTGAGGAAGCTTAAGTTGGAAAAGTCAACCGGATGTTGACTTATGTGTTAGAGGGCTCGGACGTGAGTTCTGATGGTTCGGGTAGTTTCGAGAGGTAATTTGAGACTTATGAGTGTGATCGAAATGTGTTTTAGAGGTTCGGAGTAGATTTAGGCTTGAAATGGCGAAATTAAAATTTTGGTTTCCTGGTTGATAGGTGAGATTTTGATATAGGGGTCGAAATGGAATTTCGGGAGTTGCAACAGGTCCGTTGTGTCATTTGGGATGTGTGTGCAAAATTTCAGGTCATTCAGACGTGGTTTGGTAGATTTTTGATCAAAAGC